GTCGAGATCAACTTGCCTTGGGTCAAATCCACCAAGGTGTCGATTACTCTGTTTTTGGATAGATTGCTACTGCGAAGACTACGAAGGAGGCATGGGACATCTTGAAGATGTCATACAAAGGAGTCGAGCGAGCCCAGAAATCTAAGTTTCAGTCATTAAGAAGGTTATATGATTAATGTGAGATGACTGGTACAGAAACCATAGAGCAATATTTGTCCCGTCTCACTGATCTTGTTAACAAAATGAGATTATATGGAGAAAAAAAATTGAAGATGGCACTGTAGTTGAGAAAGTTCTTCGAACCATGCCGATGAAGTATGATCATGTGGTGGCCTCAATAACCGAGTCACATGATACTGAAATCTTATCAATTGCAGAATTAAAGGGCATGATTGAGAGCCATGTCGATCGGATTGGTGCAAAGACAGAAGTGCCAGTTGAGGAAGCTTTGAAAAGTCAGGTTAACTTTCATCCATATGACTCTCAACAGCAAGGGGATGTAGATAGAGGTCATGGAAGAGGAAGAGGGAGAGAAAGAGGGCGAGGCAATTTTAGGAGACACAATCGTGGGAATTACACACGACAAGTAAATAGCGACAACAATTATCGAGATAAGTTTCCCTTTCATTGTTATAATTGTGGCAAGTATGGACATAGGATTGCAGATTGTTGGCATAAGAAAGATGTTTTTAACAATCAAGCAAATGTGGCTGAAGATTTTAAGGATGATGCCAATGATGCTGAAACTTTGCTTTTAGCGAGTAATATGGCGCTTGCTGATGTGAATACATAGTTTTTAGACACTGGATGTAGTAAACATATGTGTAGGAGGAAAGAATTATTTTGTGAGTTAGATGAATCTATCCAATCTGAGGTTATGTTTGGGAATAAAACAAAAGTTCCAATTTTAGGAAAAGGTAAAATCTCTCTGCAGTTGAAAAATGGTGCTCTTGATTTTATATCTGATGTCTTCTATGTTCCGGATCTTCATCAAAATTTGTTGACTATGGGACAATTGACTGAAAAGGGGTATAAAATCTCCTTTGCCCAAGGATGTTGTACCATTACAGATGTCAAAGGAAATATGATAACGAGGGTGACAATGTCCAGAAATCGTTTATTTCCTCTAAGTATTTAGCATACATCCATTTCATGCCTTAGTTATGAAATTTCTGATGATAATTGGCTATGGCATATGAGGTTTGGACACTTTCATTTCTCTGGTTTGAATTATCTTGCAAGAAAAAATCTAGTGTCTGATTTGCCCATAATTAATGTTCCTGATCGTGTTTGTGAAACTTGTGAGCTTGGGAAGAAGCATAGGGATTCTTTTTCAGTAGGCAAGTCGCGAAGAGCTACTAAGCTATTGGAAATTATCCACTCTAATTTGTGCTCACTTGAGGTTTCCTCGCATGGTGGTAGTAAGTACTTTATTACTTTCATAGATGATCTTAGTAGAAAAACATGGATTTATTTCTTGAAGTATAAATCAGATGCATGCGATGTCTTCAAGCAATTTAAATGTCTTGTAGAGAAAGAGAGTGACATGGCCATCAAAATTTTAAGAACATATAGAGGAACAGAGTATATTGTTTGTGATGATTTTTTGCATTAGAATGGGATTCAACATCAAATGACAGCAAAATACACTCCTCAACAAAATGGAGTTGTTGAGAGAAAAAACCGAACTATTATGGATATGGTGAGGTGTATGCTAAAGTCTAAGAATTTACCAAAATATTTCTGGGCAGAGGCTGCTGCTGGTGCTGTGTATGCGTTGAATAGGTGCCCAACGAGAAGTGTACAAGATAAAACACCCGAAGAAGCTTGGAGTGGCAGAAGGCCTTCTATTAGACATCTTAAGATTTTTGGATGCATTGCTTACGCACATGTGCCAGATGCATTAAGGAAGAAACTCGATGATAAAGGTGAAAAGTGCATCTGTACTGGTTATAGTGATGCATCCAATGCCTATAAACTTTATAATCCCATAACAAAAAAGGTTGTGAGAAGTCGTGATGTTACTTTTGATGAATATAGTGCATGGGATTGGTCATCTAATAATGAACAACCACCTGTTACTTCTCCTATACTCAATGATGTTGATGAGCAGGTTACATCAGATGATGTTATTCCAGGTGATACTCAATCTCCCCTGTCTACTTCAGTTGGTGTTATTCCAGGTGATCCTCAACCTTCATTGCCACATGAATCCACAGTTCGAAGATCGCAACGTGAACGACGCTTACCAGTTCATTTGCAAGATTATGTTTTGAGTAATGATAATGATTTATCTTATGAGGATATTGTTCAGTTTGCTCTCCTGGCAGATTATGATCCTATATGTTTTGAGGATGCCTCTACAAAACCTCATTGGATCAAGGCCATGACTGAGGAAATACAGGCCATTGAAAGGAATGAAACCTGGGAGTTAACAGACTTACCTTCCAACAAAAGACCGATTGGCGTAAAGTGGGTTTACAAAACGAAGTACAAGTCTAATGGTGAAGTTGATCGTTTCAAGGCACGACTAGTAGCAAAGGGTTATAAGCAGAAACCAGACATTGACTATTTTGAAGTGTTTGCTCCAGTAAGTAGACTTGATACAGTGCGCATGCTTATTTCAATTGCTGCAAAAAATGGTTGGAAAATACATCAAATGGATGTTAAGTCTGCCTTTTTAAATGGTACATTGGAAGAAGAAATATATGTTGAACAACCTGCAAGCTATGTGAAAGAAAGAGAAGCAAACAAAGTCTATAAATTAAAAAAGGCTTTGTATGGCTTAAAACAAGCGCCGAGGGCCTGGTATAGCTGTATTGATTCCTATTTTGTTGAATCTGGTTTTGAGAGATGTCCTCATGAGCACACTTTGTATGTCAGACGCACTGAATCAGGAGATATGGTTATTGTATGCTTATATGTGGATGATTCAATTCTCACTGGAAATAACCCAAAATTGATCTCAGAATTTAGGATTGAACTTATTAACAGATTTGAGATGACAGATATGGGATTGCTTTACTATTTCCTTGGGCTCGAAGTGCATCAAACAAGTGGAGGTATTTTTCTATCTCAAAAGAAATATGTTGGGGACATTCCGAAGAAATTCAATATGGCAGATTCACGACCAGTACTAACTCCAGTGGCTAACAAGCTGAAACTATCTTATGATAGAGCTGGTAAAAATGTGAATGCTGCAACATATAAAAGTTTGGTTGGAAGCTTGAGATATTTGGTTGCAACAAGACCGGACATTTCCTTTGGAGTTGGATTACTTAGCAGATTCATGGAAGAACCAAAAGAGTCCCATTGGATTGCAGCAAAACGTATTCTTAGATACCTCCAAGGTACTAGTAATGATGGAATTTTTTATCCTACTGATAATGTTCTCGAACTTGTTGGATACACAGATAGTGATTGGGCTGGAGATGTGAAGACTAGAAAAAGCACATTATGTTTTTCTTTATCTTGGTTCAGTTGTATTTTCATGGGCTTCGAAGAAACAAGAAGTAATAGCACTTTCCACCGCAGAAGCAGAGTCCATTGTTGTAGCAACTTGTGCCACTCAAGCCATTTGGTTGAAAAGGATTTTGGAGTTCTTGCAACACACGCAGGAAGGTCCTACGAAAATCTTTTGTGACAATAAGTCTGCTATTTCATTATCCGGAAATCCAGTTTTTCATAGTCGCAGCAAACAATATGATATCAAATTTCACAAGATTCGAGAGTTCGTTGCAAACAAGGAAATTGATGTTGAATGTTGTTCAAGTAATTGTCAAGTTGCAGATATCTTCACCAAGCCATTGAAGATATAGTCATTTCTCATATTGGAAAAGGAGATTGGAATGATGGATTTTTGGGACTTGGTTTAAGGGAGGCAATGTTAGTGTTTAAACCAAGTCAAATAACTTAGTCTAGTGGGCATTCATTTCGTAAGTCAGTTAGCAAGATTTTAGGAGAGTTCAGTTATTTCAAGTTCTATAAATTTGAGATTATCATGTAATCAAAATTGAGTGCAGTGGAGTAGTAATTGAAATCAGTCTTTTGTCTTTCACTTCATTCTCGTTATTTCATACTAACTACATTTTCTTTCCTTGCCTGCCTAGTGTTCTTCATTTTTCTTCTTCATTTTTCTCTTTTTTTTCTCTATTTTTTTTCCACTTCTATTTCTTGAATATTCATTTCAGTTTAGATGATTAATAATTGATTATCTTTGTTAGATTCATAGATCGAATAACTAAATCATAGAATTTAATTGTTTTTATACTTATTCGAATTCGATTTAAACCTTGCCAATTTAAATTTGGGATTTTGAAGTTTAACCCAAATCTTGAGAAAAAAATGCCTAATTTGAGCAATTTTGAAAAAAATATATCTAATTTATACATAAAGACTGTACACACGTTAATTATGCATTAATAGTTTAATTAGCAAATTTCCCTAACTATTTTTAATTAAAAAAATATATTTATTGTACAAGAAAAAAAAAGAAAAAAAATTCATATATGCTCAACCGTACTTATCCGTCCGACATTACCAACACCACATTTCTTAATATTGACATTTTCCTTTCACCATTTTTCTAAGTCAAATGATAATTTCAATTTTACAGATTAGATTTATTCTCTTACTATTTTTTTTTCATTTGAGTTCACCCTAATCCACTGTTTTTTGCGAAAATTTAGGAATTGTCGACTCTCATTATTGCAGAGGTGCCGCGTTGCACGAGTGTTACCCTATTTTTACTGGACTTTTATCGAAGAAAAAAAGAAGATTGAGAGCAAAAGAAAACAACCATGGCACAAAGGAGAAGATGAAAGAATGAGTGAACTTATATAAGTGAATTTTTAATAATACACGCATGTGTGCCATACAATTTCCGTTGGGATATTTTTTACCATAATTTCAAAACCACGAATAGTAATATAAAATTTTAAAATCACCGGAATTTTATGTCATTTTGAAAAAAAAAAAAAAAAAAAGTATAAGTAAACAAACACGGACAAACGAACCTGACCAGAGTTCTCCCGCACTACAATTTTTACTAAACCCACGGTTTCCACTCTCTGCGTCTCTCTCAAGCTATTCGTCTCTCTCAAGCTATTCTTCAATGGCGGAACCTAAAACCAAATACGATCGTCAGCTCAGGTATACTCATCGATTCGCATTTACGCATGTTTCTATGTAAGCGCTCGCGGTGGTGAATGTTATTCGATTCGCAGAATTTGGGGCGAGCAAGGGCAAGCATCTCTCGAGAAATCGAGCATATGTTTGTTAAACTGCGGCCCGACCGGCTCGGAGACATTGAAGAATTTGGTCCTTGGTGGTGTTGGAAGCATAACTGTTGTTGATGGCTCGAAAGTGGAAATAGGAGACCTTGGAAATAATTTCATGGGTATGTATATGTGTTTTCTCCGTCGTTTCGGCTTCATATCCCAACAAAAGTGAATCTTAGTAGTATCTGTTCCTTTGCATATGTAGTGGATGAGTCGAGCGTTGGGCAATCAATGGCCAAAACCGTTTGTGCCTTTCTGCAGGAGTTGAATGACGCTGTAAAGGCAAAATTCATAGAAGAGTATCCGGAAAGGCTGATAGACTCGAATCCGGCATTCTTTTCGCAGTTTACTTTGGTTGTTGCCACGCAGGTTTGTATGATTGTTTGAATTATTGAATGCTCTTTCTTCACTGATTTATATCGCATAGGCTTCATTTTCTTGTCATAATCTTCTGTTTTTATACTGGTTGGAAAATAATTAGATGTCTGACTTGGTTTTAGCATCGGATATCAAGCATGTGGTAGTGTTCCTTATTTCCTACATCCGTTTTTGAGTAAATCTATTCAACATATTTTATTGTATCAAGAAGTATTTAAATGGCTTGGACGTACTGTGCTTATTTTTGTGCTTATTCGGTACAAAGCATAGATATGTTATTTTTCCTCCGTCAATGCATGGTCTACTAAGGGTTGTGATGATAACTTTTTGTGATTATGGGAATATTTTCCCTTCTTCGTGCTTATGTTTGATTCAATGCATTTATTCCTTAAACAGAACCTTGACACTGTTGTGGACTATCATGACTTGACAAAAATGCAATTTCGTTTATTGTAAATGCTAAGTTAGGCTTGCAATTTTTTAATGAAGTAATGAGGAAGCTCTTCACAAGTTTAAATGGGTTCGGTGAAGATTTTATTATTTGCATTTTTGGACAAGAAAATCCTGTTTGTAGTGTGGTTGAATATGCCAGGTTATTAAGGAATAACATCTATTTTCATTCAGCTGGTCGTGTTTACTTGTGAGATTTTGGTTTTTGGTTTTGATTTTGAATAGTAAAATTTTGAATTGAAATAGTTGTTTGATGTGATATAAATATGTGTTGATGTGATGTTTTGAATGTAAAATTTGATTTTAGTGTAATAAAATAAATAAGAATTGAGGGTTTGATTTGATGTTTTTGGAGGGAAAAGAAAGTTGAAATAGTAAAATCAGACCTAAAATCATACAAGTAAACAGACCTCTAGTTTCTTACTGTTTAAAATAGTTCTATGGGTGGATATGTCAGTATTGTAGGTTAGTGTTCCAGGTTCATTGGTCTGATGTTATTCAAATCATCTTCGACAGTAAATGATCAATGAAAAATGTATTCTATCTAGCCTGCTGTGTATTTACTGTGGCTTCATGTTATTGGTTTCAGCTTGTGGAAAATTCTATGTTGAAACTGGACAGAATATGCCGTGAAGCTAATGTCATGTTAGTATTTGCTCGTTCATATGGCCTTACCGGTTTTGTCCGGATCAGTGTGAAGGTACTCTTGTTTCTATTACATTAGTTTCCTCTCGCGTTCTTTAAATATGTACGGTTTTTGCTCTCTTTCTTGCCATTAGCAATTGCAGAAAGTATTTCATTGTGAAATAGGTCTTGAAAAGATGTTAAACTGTGAGATATAAATGGATGTGCTTGAACAGTGATGAATAATTTTTACTAGTGTTTTGTATGCATTAAATGTGAGTTAAATGTTTAATCTCAAATCTTCTGTAGGAACATCCAGTCATTGAGGCAAAACCTGATCATTTTCTGGATGATCTTCGGCTGAATAACCCATGGCCAGAGCTCAGGAGGTCTGATTTTGTCCTTGGCAATTTTTTTGGTTTACACTTTGGAACCAAAATGATTCCAATTTGTAACAGGAGTAGTTCGATATTAACATGCACCTTGTTGGAAGGTTTTTCATGATTTTCAATTTTTGGAAATTGTTGTGAAAGTTTCATTCTACATCCCCTACACCAAATATAAAATATGGGAAATCATCTTGGTTCGCAATTTACTTCTCTCAAACCAACCCATAGTTTAACTGTACTTCATATTGGCAACAGTTAACTTGCTTTTCTCCTAAAGTGAGCAATCTATTCTTGGTAGATTTGCAGAGACAATTGATTTGGATACAACTGATCCAGTCATCCATAAACACACTCCATATGTTATAATTCTTATCAAGATGGCTGAGGAGTGGGCAAAAACTCACGAGGGAAACCTTCCATCAACTAGGGAAGATAAAAAGACATTTAAGGTGCCTAATAAAATTTCTGCTCCTGCAGTTTGTGTATTATTGATTTCTTCCTGCCATGAAGTGGTCTAGAATTCTGTGTGGTTGTGGCAGGATTTAATCAAGGGCAAGATGATTGCATCAGACGAAGACAATTACAAAGAGGCCATAGAAGCTTCATTTAAAGTTTTTTCTCCTCGAGGAATTAGTAAGTAATTTTTTTTAACGCACCAATGCCCATACCTGAATTAAGGGTTAATGCTGGAAGCTGCTCATGGAGATTTAACCTTTGTATTAATAATATGATTTGGCACTTGTATAGGTGTTGTTGTAACAAACTGAATGATAGTAACTTTCTCATATGCAATCACTACCAGCAATTGAGCCTTTGACTTGTCTGGGGTTAAGATATTGCCTAATGTTTTCGCAAGATAAGGTTGTAGTCTTGGTTTTATGGAGGTCATATAATATATCTTTTGAACTATTTTATACTCTGCATTTGTCATTTTATCAAACTTTCAAGGTTAAGATGAGGATATTACTCTACTCTGGGAATACATCATAGCAAATAATTTTCATCCGCTGTATGTAAGATGCACTAGGACCAATGCAAGTTACTATTCTAAAACCTCTGAATGTGAAACATGTTACACCTGATAAAAATGTTCCAGAAAATAGGAGGCTGTAATTTCAGTTGGTATTATTCACTTAAATATACTTCTTTCAGGTCCAAGCCTTCAGCAGATCCTAAATGATAGATGTGCAGATGTTAATTCTGATTCATCAGATTTTTGGGTGTTGGTGGCTGCTCTGAAGGTAACATTTTTGCCAACTCTTGATACTGGTTAAATTTCTCTAGGTGTTCAGTTTCATGTCCGCGCGTATAAAAGTTCTAATATTTATTTTTGAATTACCTGCCACTATCAACATTAACAGCTTTCCGTCAAAGTTGGCCACCCTTAGTTTACCAACTATAGCATTTCACTTGTAACCGCAGTGCTTTTGTGATTAGTTTTTATATGCTTACTGTTAGGTATTAAACGTATTAATTTGTGTTTGTTCATTGCATCTTCCCCTACCTTGCTTTTCTTCTTCATCTCTTCATCTCACCCTTGAATGTGTATATATACTATGTAATTGTACTGTAGATCATCAATTCAAGTGAGTACAATTCATTCTCTTCCCATTCAAATTCATTCTCGACATGGTATCAGAGCAGGACTTTTCTGTTGTGCTTTCTCAGTCCACGTGGTTTGCCAATCTCCTCTTTTTCAATTAAACATTTTCTACAAACCTATTGTTGAGATTAAACAACCTTCAACATTAGCAATTTCCGGTGACTGTTGATGTCAACAATGTCTCCATAACCTTATTTACATGCTGGCATGAGAGTCACGTGTTGGCAGTAGCCATCATTTTCTACTGATTTTGGGTGGCTCAACCCATCATTTTCACACTTGGGGTCCAATTCTGTGGTGTTTCATCCTTTGATTTATTGGAATTGCTCTGTTGCATTCCAATTTCAATCTATCTTGCTGCCTGTATATTTTGTTCTTTGCTCATCATTGATGGCTATTCTACACATGCTAAAGTCCAGCCTTCCATACAACATTCTCTCTCTCTCTCTCAAAGAGTACATATCATTTTGATGTTTCAGACTATCAAACAGACATCATATGCCTCTAGGGCGTCAATAGCCAAGGTAACCAAATGATGTTCTCATATTTCTACTGTTTATCAGGTTAGCATTGGATATTAGATTTGGGGCGATAAATCATTTCTCAAATAAGAGAGAATTCTCTACTCACATCTCTCATTTGCACTCGTCTTAAAATAATATTATTATTATGTTCGATGGATCATCCAACTCTGTCCAATGAATTGGTAATTCACTCGTTTTTTCTTCACTCATTTTTTCATTTTTGTTTGTCCTCAAAAGTTTTTTCTACCTTGTACCTTTGAGTGAACTAACGTACTTGTGATACCCGGAGTTGAGCTGTTGCTTGGCCAACTTCCGTGTGATGAGCCGGTATTAAGTTATTCAAAATTGATTAGAGGTTAAATGAATTGAATAGACTACTCATTTCAACAATGTGCACATTCTTTTTCGGGAGCTCTATTGAAAAAATTCTAAAATTAAGAGAACTTGCCCTAGAGTAATTTGAGAATGGATTACCTCATGGGAAGTCCCTAGGGTGTGCGTGAGTGAGGACAGAAGCGCGCTGGAAAGATTCGTGTTGACTTATGGGCCAGTCTATGATTCCGACATGTCCGACTTTGCGTGTCTTGCAGGTTGGGGTGTCACAGTTGGTATCAGAGTCGACCTGCGATAGCTCGCAGTCGTTGACCCGGCTGGTGACGGGCCTAGCAGTTGATGATCCTTGGGGTGCAACGGAAACGTTGCATTTTAAAGTGGGGGAGGATGTTTGGTCAACTCCCATGTGTGGATGAGTCGTTATTAGACTATCCGAAATTGATTAGAGGTTAAATGAATTGAATACACTACTCATGTCAACAATGTGAACTTTCCTTTTCGGAAGCCCTATTGAAATTTGTCCTAGAATAATTTGAGGATGGGTGACCCTCTGAAAAGTCTCCCAGGGTGCGCATGAGTGAGGACAGAAGCGCTCTGGAAGAACTCGTGTTAACCTGTGGGGTCAGTCTATGATTCCGACACGCCTAGCTTTGCGTATCTTGATGGCCGGGGTGCTACAGTACGTGCCTACTAATTTGTTAGGTGTAGTTTTCTAATAAGGTTGTTATCCGAGATTTATTTGAGATCCAAAGATGATTGGAGTAGGGCAACTAGGTTGCATTTGTTTGGTAATTTATAGTCCTTGTGTTCACTTTTCTTTCATCCCCTTTTGTTGGGCATTGTTGTGTTGGTCACCCAACAATCAATAACCTTAAGATTATGTTCAAGTTAGTTTATATCTTGAGTCGTGAATTGTCAATTTGGCAAAAATCATTTTTCTTTTCTCCATGCATCCTAAAAGGGCTGACAAACCTTTTAAGCTTCATATATACCTTTGGGGACAACTTGAGTTAAATCCAAATTGGGGTTCCAATATTTTGTTCATTTTGTTTATGATTTCTCTTGAATGACCTTATTATACCTTATGAAAGATCACTTTGAACTCGTTATCAGAAAAAAAAAGATCACTTTGAACTATTTTCCATCTTTGTTCTTCTTTGCTAAAATGAAAACCTAGTTTGGTTTTCGACTTATCACATTTATACAATTTGTGGTGATAATGCTTGGGAATCTTTTGAAAGCTCTTCTCCATCTACCTTGACCAGCATGGTATTCAAGACAAACCTCTTGTCTTCCTAGTCCAAGAAAATAGAGTAGCCTTAAAGAAAAATCCAACATGTGATTGGAACACCTTACACTATGTTGATTAGCATAAATGTCTTGAAGATTTTTTGAAGCAATGCTATTGTAATAGCATGCTTTCTTATTCATAGAATTCTTTGTGTGATAGGTCAAACCCCACCCCACCCCAACAAGTTGGTTGGATGATGTAATGGAGTGTAAATTTGATGGCTTATGACACAGTCAGGAATAAAGTGGCAGCCAACCTCAATATGTTCAGTGAAGTTATGATTATTTGCAATGTAAATTACTGATTGGATATCACAATGTATAAGCAAGGGTTCATTTATTACTTGTGCCATGTGACTAGATTTCCTCCCACATAAGTGCAATATCTAGAAGTAGATCATGTTTGTCTTTGACCTAGCATAGTCAGCACCAAAACATCCTTTGATTTTTAGGTGGATTTTTTTTTCATAACAAACCTCTGCCAGTTGAGCCCTTGTATACCTAAGTATTCGAAGAGCATATTCCTAGTGAACTTGCATAGGCTTATCCAAATATGGTTTGCCACTCCAACGGCATAAGAGATATCAAACCTAATTATGTTTGAGTATAGAGCAAAAATCATTAATAGTGTCAATTAAACTTATTTTTTCTTTTTCTGGTCTTATTCAAAAAAATTTATTATAGCTAGTCCCATACAAAAAATTATTCGTCATGGTTAGTTCTACCGTTGAAATTTTAATGAACCATGTTGATGTGGCGGTAGCAGAAGCTGAGGTGGCGGCTGTGTCGGATCAAACACATCCATGTTACATAGAATACAACCGTGTTTAAACTTCTCACCCTCTATCATGAGTTGATCGCACGCACCGCCGCCGAGCAGCACTGGTTTGGTGCCACTAGATGCGTGTGGTGGCGCAGCACATTTTCGGCACTACACTGTCGTCGCTGCCGCCCGAGATGGGTCAAATCCATGAAACCCTACCCGGCTTCTGGTGCAACACCGCCGCCGTCGTTGCGTGCTGCTGGCATATCGGATTGATTCTATGAAGCTGCAGTGAAGATGGCATTTTGTTGCTCTTCTCACAATAATTAAATCCTCAGCGGCAAAAAAAAAAAATAATCCTCAACGGCGGTGGAGATCTCATATGTATATATATATGTACACATGAAGATGTATAGAGAGAGACATGGAGATTGTGTAGCTGCTAGTTGCAATAAAGTAGGGATATTAATAGATAGATAAAAGGAATTGAAGAAAAGGTTCTATACAGTTAATGAAACCAAAAAAAAAAAAAAAAAAAAAAAAAAAAAAAAAATTCCAATAAATTGTCTATACTTAGCTTTATCCTCAAAGAAATCCGTTATCATTTCATATAGTTGGACTAAAAACCATAGGAGTCTCAACTTGTTTTGATCTTAGCAATCCAATTTCTTTGAGTAAATCAATAACATACGTTTGCTGGCAAAGAGACATTCCACCATGCTTCCATGAGCAATTTCAATCCTTGGGAAATACTTGGGACGTCCCAAATCCTCGTAACAAAATGCTATCGCAAGACCCTTAGTCTCTTTGATTCCCTATGCATTGCTGCCAAATACAAGAATGTTATCAACATGCACAATGAGAATGACAATTTCATTTGTGTTAGTTCTCACAAATATAGACTGATCTATAGCATTGCTAACCAATAACATTAATGACATTGATGAATTTATCAACTCAAGCTTTTGGACTTTGTTAGAGACCATCATGGCCTTCTTAAGATGACAAAACTTAGTAGAATCCTTCCCCTACGCAACATATCCTAAACGGTGCTCCACAAACATAATCGAATTCAAGTCACTATACAGGAATGTATTATTCATATCAAGTTGATACCTAGGTGACAATAGATTGACAATCAATGAGATTAAAATTTGAATAGAATTCAATCGAGCAAGAGAGAATGTCTTATAGTAGTCAACACCATAAGTTTGAGTGTATCATTTGGCTTCAGCCTATTGTAGTAGGTCATAAGATTCTCATTACATGTCTTTAGTCTAATGTGTCATTATAATACCCTTTACCTATCTGTATATTTGGTTGTACATGCTTTGTTCATGACCATTCTTCAGGTTTGGACAAATTACGTCATCGATCGATCAAATATGTTTTTCTTGAGTACGCTCGGGTTCAAAAACGATATAGATGTTATTCTCCTTTCATTCGTCGATATTACGTTAGTGCAGATGTCACTTTATTTGAGTCATCACCATACTTTATAGTGTTATTAGTTCCGTCCTCAATACCTGTGACTCATATTCCAGTGGCTTCCATTCTCAAGCCTCCACTTTCAAGTCTATAGTCGGGATACATGGGAACGTCAGAATATACTTACTTCACCGTCACCTACGCCCATTGATAACTCATCTCCGCTTCCATCATCTTCCCTAGTTGCGACTCTACCGTCATATGTTGTCCTACTCGAGGTACTCAGTCCACTTGTTATCCTAACTTTGTCTATAATTTTCTTAGTTATCACTATGTATCTTCCTTTATGTGTAGTGTTGTAAGTGCTTTAGACTCCCTCTTTGTTCCTCGCACTTGGCGTGAGGCTTTAGGTCATTCAGGGTGGTGTGAGGTCATGGTGGAGGAAATATTTGTTTTGCATGCTAACAATACTTTAGAGTTAATTCCGTTGCCACTAGGAAAAACACCCGTAGCTTGCCGATGGGTTTATGTAGTCAAGGTTGGCCATGATGGTCACATTGATCGACTCAAAGCTCGACTTGTTGCAACAAGTGTATGAAGAGGACTATACGGAAATCTTTTCTCCATCTTCTGTTCGTATTTTTTTTTTCTATAAAAGCAATGCGTGGTTGGCTCTTTCATCAACTTATATAAAAATGTCTGTTTGCATTGTGAGCTTCAAGAAAAGGTTTATATGGAGCAACCATCTGGCTTTGTTGTTCACGGGGGAGTCTAGTCTTGTATGTCGTTTCCGTCGCTCACTCTATGGCTTGAAACAGTCTCCACGGGCATGGTTTGGACTCTTTAGCGTTATCCAAGAATTTGGTATAATGTAATGTTCATCTGATCATACCGTATTCTTTAAGCATATTTTAGAAGGACAATGTGTTTACTTAATTGTCTATGTCGATGATGTTGTCATCACTGAAGATGATATAGATAGTATTACGGAGTTGAAGGAGCATCTACACAAACATTTTCAGACCAAAGACTTGAGACTGATATACCATCAAAGAATAGTCTTAAAAGTATGTTGGAAGAAGCAAGTACAAATGAATGTAAGATTGTGGATTCCCTATGGATCCACATATAAAGTTGCTTTTTGGCTAGGGGTAGCCATTGAGTGATGCTGATGCTGGACGATATAGAAGGCTGGTTGGAAATTACCTTACTATCATCCGACCAGCTATATCATTTGCCGTAAGTGTAGTGAGTCAGTTCATGCAGTCTTCATGTAACTCTCATTGAAAGGCATTATGTGTTCTTTACGGTTATATTAAAGGGCCTTCCGGAAAAGGTTCTTTATACAAGTCATGGTCACTCCGAAATTGTTGATATTCAGATCTTAATTGGGTACGGTCTTCAGTCAATAGACGTTCTACCTTTGGTTATTGTGTGTTTGTTGGAGGTAATTTGATATCTTGGAAAAGTAAAAAACAAAATGTGGTTGTGCGTTCTAGTGCTGATGTTGAATATCGCGCTATAGCCTTAGTTACATGGGAGCAACTTTGGATTAAACAATTACTTTTGAACTAAGTTTTGTGATGTGACAAAGATGAAATTATGGTGTGATAATCTGGCAGCACTATACATTGCATCAAATCCAGTATTTTATGAACGAACAAAGCATATCGATATAGATTGTACGTGTCCTTAGATGATCAACTTGTAGACATATTTTCAAGAAGTTCTTAGAGGTCCTAAATCCGAGTCCATCTGCAATAAGCTTGGATCGTATGACTTATACGCTCCAGCTTGAGAGGGAGTGTTAGATTTATTAGATTCGTATAGATATTGATATCTCTATCTATCTATATCCATATCCATAACTATGATTTAGTTAGATTTAGTTTGTTAGAATAGATTTCTAAATACCTCTGTTACTCTATAAATGTATTCTTCCCTTCTCTTTTATTATAAAATTAAATAATATTTTGTCTCTATTTCTCTACAACTTAAATTGTGAAAATGACTTTTGTTCATGTGTTAATTGTTTTAGGGTATGTTTCTTTTATATCCAAACTGTAGGTTTTTACTATTTGGACTCTGCTTTTTCCGAAAAAAATATTTTTTCCTCTCACAAAACATCCCATCATACATTATTTTAATACCAAATGCAAACCAAATTTTTTCCAAACCCATCAAAAGAAACATACCCATAGTGAAGTCATGCATAATTGATCTCTCCATCAAATTGATATAAAATATGCCTTTCTTTGTGGAACCATAAACCATTCATATTGGCACTTGCAGGTCCAATGTTTCCCATATTTAAAATGACAGTCCAAGGTTGTCACAAATGTAAAGACCAGCCTGTTGATTTTGTACATTTGTGAAAACCTTGGAGTTCATGATATATATGCTTCAGCGTGAGAGGGAATGGTAGTAGATATTATTAGTATTAATTAGTGTTAGACATTAATTTCTGCATGTCCAATGTTCATTTTACCTTCCCTCACCCTGCCTTTCTTCTTCCTCTCACCACTTATTGTCTTGTGTACTCATAATTATAGTAGAAACCATCTATTCAAGTGAATACCGTTCTTTCTCAAATACTTACCATCAGAAATTTTGAGAACTTTGTTCAAATGCAAAATAAGAGTGTCAGTTGATTGACTACGTGCAGTTTCTAACCTAGAGTAAATGCTCAAAAAGCACACAATGTTGCTGTGGTGATACCATCAGTAATATTTACATGCATTTTCTCACATTTCTTGCCCCATCTTGCAGGAGTTTATAGCTAATGAAGGTGGTGGGGAGGCACCTTTGGAAGGAGCAATCCCTGATATGACATCTTCTACTGAGTAAGCCAGGGTGTTTCTTCCACTAAATCTTACCCCTTTTTTTTTTTTTTTTTTAACTTATTGAGCCTTTTAATGGCATCTATGCTTCTTAGGCTATATATCAACCTGCAAAGGATTTATCAAGCTAAGGCTGAGGCAGATATTCATAGTATGGAGAATTATGCAAGGAAAATACTACAGAAGATAGGCAGAGATACTGATAGCATTCCTAAAGCGACCATTAAAAGTTTCTGCAAAAATGCACGCAAACTCAAGGTTTGTTCTCTAAAATTTTCTATCAGACAACTAGTTTTCATGTGTTTTATTTTTTGTTAGAACTGAAAGGCATTAAGGTTTTGTAGTTTGTTATGTAACTTTTCTTGTAGGTTTTGCATGCATTCCTTAACATTGAAATTACATTTTTATCAAACTGTAATCTAGTCATTATGGTCTTTGGCATACTTGTAGTTGTAGAGTTCCAAAAAATGGATTGGAACTTCGTCAAATGATCGATACGAAGTGACATGCAATTTATACTTTGTTGACATGGCTTCAGGGTCTATATTATATATTATTTTCTAAATTGTTAGGTATGCAGATACCGCCCATTAGAGGAGGAATACAATTCTCCAGTTCAGCCAGAGTTGCAAAAATATCTAACAGATGAAGACTACAGGTACTTACCTTAGGGCCTTTGCCATTATGATCAATTAGTGGAATATATGGAGTGAGTCGTAGATGTTCTTATCAAACACACAGCTAAAAATCTTAAGAAAGCACACTAATTGTAGTTTTTGCAATAACTGAAAGACTAACACTTTTGGCTAATGCTAAAAAAGATGGGTACAGTATATGTAGTAGTAAATAAAATTGTATTCTATGTATAATTTTAATTTCTACTAGAATAGAATATTCACATGAGCACCCGGTAACGAATTCCCTCATAAAAAGCAAAAAGTAAATAAATAAATTGTTTTCTTGTAAGTAGTTGTGAGCACTCCCTAATGTTTGAATTGTCCTTTTAACATAAAAATTGGTCATTGATATTTGATTTTTCTAATTATGACTGTAGTATTTGCAAACATGTATTAATTTTATTTAGAAGTAAAAGGGAGTATTTGCTGTCGCTGACAATCGGTGGTATACATGCATGCTGAGAAGCTACATATTTTGATTTAAAATTTCAATTATGCGGAGATGTGATGTGTTTCATTAGGATTAGTGTATTAGAATTTAGAATGCTTTGCATTTGTATGCTCTTCCAACATACATACCTAAACTAATGTTGGCTGGCGTGATTTTCTCACGGATTGGTGTTTTTAATTATTGTGTTTTGTGCAGCACGGCGGTTGGATTTTATGTTCTTCTACGAGCAGTAGACCGTTTTGCTGCAAATTACAACAGTTTTCCTGGGCAGTTTGAAGGGTACAATCTTAGAGCAACCAACCAACCACCCATTTGATATATATTCTTACAATGTTTTTGCAGCAGCGTAATTGTGGTTTTTGTGAATAGTGAGATGGACGAAGAGATTTCGAGGTTGAAAACAACAGCTGTTAGCGTACTTAACGACTTGGGTTGCAATGGATCAACATTGACGGAAGATCTTATCAATGAGATGTGCCGATACGGAGCTGCAGAGCTTCATGCTGTAGCTGCATTGATTGGAGCAATTGCATCACAGGAAGTGATCAAGGTTGGTTTGGTTTGTGTTGTTCCCAATCTCTCATTCACATATAGCACATTTTGCTTAATTAGTTAAGTTTGATTTTGTATAATAATGGACAGCTGATGACGAGACAATTTGTTCCGATGAGTGGGACATTTATCTTCAATGGCATTGATCACAAGTCGCAGTTGCTATTACTTTAGGCTCATCAACCAACAGCAGGTATGGATATGCATATCGTATTTAAGTAAGTACCCATCTCCATCTCCATCCCCATCCCCATCCCCATCCCGTGCCTAGACTTTTTGTTGACACACACACTTGGTTCTTGTGTGGATCTACTTCTCTTATAGTATTGATACACACACACTACCAACCACCTTTGTCTATTGACTATACATATATATATATATATTTAATGCGTCACCAATGATCTTTGATCTCGACCTCTACCAGCAAAAGCTAAGTTTGGCTAGTATGGAATGGAATGGAGTTCCCATCCTCTCCTTTCCTTTCCTTGGGGTTTAGGGAATGGCTTAGTTGATGGCTGGATTTCTAAATGAAAGAAGTTGGATTGGATGGATAGATAGATAACATTATTTAATTCATATTTCATTTATAATCTAATACTCCCTCCGTCTCACGTGTTGTCGTTTCTGTCCGTTCTACGTTCTATGTCCCTCTTTTTTTTTTTAAAATGATTACACACTTTAATATCATTTTAAACTTTTTAATTTATTTTTTTTAATTTTAATTAAACTAATTAGTTATTTTAATCTTAATTTATAATTATTTATATTATAATATAATTATTTTCACTAATACATTCTTAATTATCTACTAATTACATCCTTCCTAAAATATCGTATGTGGGACGGAGGGAGTACTATATATCTGTTTAATTTAAATAAATTTAAAATTATATCTAAATAAATGTATTCAATATATGGATATTATTTCTACAAGATTATAGTGTTTGTTTTTTATTAAAAAAAAAAAAAAAAAAAAAAAAACATCATTATTCAACTTGTATCATTATTAATAAAAAAAATTATTCTATTATATTTTCTAACAAAATGTCAAATCAAAATATTATTCAATCAAAAATTTAAATCTAACATTCTATTTCAAATTAATATCAAACTACAATCAACCAAACTATACATTTGGAAAAATACAAATAAATAAAGATATATATTTATGCATGATTAATATATATATATTAATTAAAAAAATACAAATATACACAAAATATTATTTTTTATATTATCAATACATCATCCAAAAAAAAAAAAAGTGTGTTTTTATCTGGAACTATAATATATTTTTTTATTTGAGATTAAAAAGTAAAAGCATAATTAAATCATACTTTCGAAAATATATTTTCTTTTTCTTTTTTTTTCACAAAAAATAAGAAACATAGTGCAAAATTAAAGCTAAACAAATAGACACTTCGTGCGGTGCCTTAGGTTTGGTTTGAAAATTTGGGTCTATTTCTTTACCCTAAACCCTTGAACTCTGTTTTTTCAAAAAATATATATATTATTTTTAACAAAATATACAAATACGAAATTTAAATTTAAAATTTTTAAACCCCATAAAAAACACATTAAGATACTAAAAGTTTAATTTTCTAAACTCCATAAAAAATACATTAAAATACTAAAAGTTTAATTTTCTAAACCCCATAAAAAGAACACAATAAGATACTAAAAGAATTCAACATATTCGCCTTTCATAAACCCATCTCTAATATCGTATTATCCTTATATTAAAAATATTTATATAAAACATCTATAATATATTATGGGTAGTTTTTTCTAAAAATTAACGGGGTTGAATGACCATTTTCTTGAATAGTGAATGACAATGTGGCTTGGGATTTAATATTTCAAATATGATAAAATTGATTTTTATTTTGAAATTTAGTTGAAAAAATTCAAAATAAATTTTGGAAAACAAACCCGAGTACAAAAAAGAAGAAAAAGACATAGGAGTGCTGCTTTATTTCCCAATAAGATGCCTTTGTCGCTTTGAATGTTACATATTTTTTAAACATTGAATAGGTAATTTTTATTTTCAAGTCACGTTAGACGATTGAATCAATAACCTCACGGTCACAAATTCACTTCCCACACCACTATGTCATTCCACCTAAATAAGTAACTCTTTTATTATATTATATTTAATAACAAAATAAAAATAAATTTATTTTTAATTTTACTAGCATGTAAACCCATACTAAGCACGGATATACATGTAATTAATATATTTAAAGTTAAATTAATTAATAAAATAATCATCTACTGAATCAACCAATAAAAATTATCTATAAAAGTAAATAAGATCTGAAATATCTACAAAATATATCAAAAATAAAACTAAATAAATTGTTTATACAATTAAAAATAAGATCCGTGCTTTTTATACTATTTTTCAATTGCGATTCTTCAAAAATAATACTTCCTCCGTCTCTTAACAAATTATTCATTTTTCTATTTTGGTTCGTCTCATACCAAAGCATTCACTTTTTTTTTTTTAGTAATTATACTATCTACTTAACATTACAAATATTCTTACAACTTATAATATATTACACAAATGTCATTATTTTTATATAATATAATACTAGTAAGCAGAGGCGGAACCAAACCGGAATGAGAGGGGAGGCTAATTTTTCAAATTTCGAAGCCATCAAAATCTATTTGTTATCCAATAATTTTATCAATGGAGTTATCATATTTTGAAAATATTTTAAAATATCAACTTACAGTAACAACTACGTATTACAAGATAATTTTGTATTATATGAAATTGATAAATAGTAAAAAAAAAATATTAAAAAAAATAGCTTTTAAAAATATCATCTCCTATGCATTTAGATGAGAATTTTTTGAAGAATTTTCTTTTTTTTTAATTATTATATTTTTACTTTTTTTGTTCATATCTATTTTTATAGCATCAAAAAATTATAATGATATAAACTTTTTATTATTCAAAATTAATTTTTCACATAAATACTTATCAATTTTTATCAATTTTTAAATTTGTTTATTATTTTTTATATTATATATTATAAAATAAAAATTAAAAATTAAAAATTAAAAAGGGATGGGGTGGGTGGAAGGGGCTGGAGTCCCCCTTCCCCACGTACATCCGCCTCTGCTAATAAGGTTATTTTAGTTATTTCTATTGTATTTATATTTCATATCAATATATATATATACATAAAATCATGTGCAAAAAGTAAATGTATATTTGTGACACCCCGGCCCGTAAGCCATATAGAGTTGAGCATGTCAGAATCGTTGACTGGTCTTACAAGTCAACACAAGTCATTTCAGGACATTTTATCTTCACTCACGCACACTTAGGAGACTTCCCAAATGTCACCCATCCTCAAATTAAGGGCTCCCGAAAAAGAATGTGCATATTATTGACATGAGTAATTTATTCAATCAATTTAACTTGTATTCAATTTCGGATGGCTTGACACTGGCTCATCCACGGAAGTTGGCCTAGCACCGGCCCAACTCCAGGGTATTACAATATTAGGTAAGGGACGGGGAAGTAATAAACAACATAAAATATTTTTTACAATAGTCAAAAAGTAAAAAAAAAAATAAAATAAAATACTCATTACGAAAAGTCAAATATCCAATTATTATTTTATACTTTTGATACAATTCATTGTGCCAAAAATAAAAGGGTAAATTGCTTCTCATACACCAGCGTTATTTGTAATATGCATATAATTCCCTGTATTAAGAAAATCACCGTATAACCGCTTGCATTTTGTAAAAGGTTGCTCATGTACCTCTTCAAACGTTAGACACTAACGGCGTCAATTATATTTGTAATGAGACCGTTTTACCCTTAAATAAATATACTATTAATATTACATTTAATAAAATAATAGCAGTTGTATTCCTTCATCGATGATAGAAACCCTACATTATAATAATTATATCATCTTGATAAATTCGTTTGTAATTATGGAGAATGTTAATCTTGGAAATGCAACTTACTCGTATTGACATCCTTAAAGCTCTAACTGACAACCAAAAGATTTAATATTGTAAGATCAATGCTCACCGTCACCGTGTTTCAGAATTTGAAGTCACAATGATGTTGTTGGGATTATCCTCTAACGGTAAAGTAAGTGGGGGCAAGGAATTTTCTTTCTTTATTGTAAAGCATTAAATACCTGCATCCTAACTATTCATTGCCTTTTTCATTGACGATTTGGATTAGATGATTTTGCATTAGTAATATTTATAATTTTTGGGTAATCTGTTTTTTTTAGTTTCGTAACTAGACCCCTTATCATTTTAGTCCCGTAAGTGGAGCATGTCGCAAACTGGTCCCATAGATGAAAAATTTTCGTTGTTTTAGTCTTCCGACGCCGGAGATGCCAACATGGCTTGCCGGAAGCCACGTGTCCGCCAGGTGTCGCTGACCTGGCGGACACGTGGATTTTATTTTATTTTTAATCTTTTTTAAATCTTTTTTAATTTTTTTTTCAATTAGACCAAATAAAAAAAATTAAAAAGGGCAAACAAAATTAAAAATTAATTTTAAATTAATTTTAAAAAAATTAAAAATAAAATAAAATAAAATCCACGTGTCCGTCAGGTGTTGCTGACCTGGCGGACACGTAGCCTCCGATGAGCCACGTGGGCGTCTCCAGCGCCAGAGGACTAAAAGAGCGAATTTTCACTTATGGGACTCGATTGCGACAGGCTCCACTTACGGGACTAAAATGATAAGGGGGTCTAGTTGTGAGACTAAAAAAACAGTTTATTCTTAATTTTTTATAGCTACAAATGGTTGTCCAAGCTTGTTGTTGATCGTCGGGTGTCTATATCAAAATTTTATATATATCAATGGATGTTGTGCTTTCAAATTAAATGCCAAGGGTTAGAAATAATTTGCTGGATCTATGGACTTTGGATTATAAACAAGAGAGTGAAGTCCATTTATCTTGGAAGGGGATCCTCGTACACCTATGTATAGATACATGGGTGTGTATCTATCTTGTTATTGTTAAGAAGGTAATTATGTTTTCATCATCTAAAACATTGGAAACAAAGTGGATCGTTTTAAATGTAAAAATCATAACTAATTAGTGATGTTCCAGGTCGATTTACATATTGTTCTCAACTTTGAGCTTTTTGACATTCTTTGGAATATAATTAACAAAACAGTTGTTAATGATGTTTATTTTTATTTTTATTTTTATTTTTTAATCATGGTTTGAAGAGTGGGTAATTTAACTTTTGTACAATAACAACCAAAAAAAGTATGAAGTCTCATATCTATTAAAGATCGATTTGTAAAGCGTTTTGGGACATATAAAATACAAATTAGTTTGTATAGATGTGAGAAAAAATATATATTTCCAAAAGGTTTCCTCTTACAAATGATTTCAAATTGTGATTCATAGTAGTTTATATGATTACTATTATTATTTTTATTAGTCTTATAAGTTGAAAATTGTATACTTTAAAATATACAACATTTTTAATATATATTATAAATTTAGTTTAATTAGTTTTTCAATTACTTCAATTAAATTTTC